TTTCTTATAATATAAAATTAAATACTGCTATAATATAATCCTTATTTTCAAATATTATCAAAAAAAATTTTATTTAAATATATTAAAATTTAAAAAAAGTAAATCATAACAATATTTATGATAATTTTCCAGGCAAATTTGCCTAGAAAAGCCTACAGTTTAAGGGATAATATTTGACATTGCGAGTTAAAATTTAAAGTTTACCATCTTCTACTTTGTAGTTTACGAATCTTAGAAGAAGGGGCTTTTTTCTTTTAATTACGTAACGATTGTTTTGGTCTCTTGTACAGGATCGTCTTATGGATTGTGATGGTGGTATAATTTTTAGATTTTTGTCTCGAAAGTATTCAGAGTAAGTCATGATCTTGAACTCATTTGTTTTCGGGCGGCTAAAGTATTTATCTATCGCATCGTCCCAGTAGGGTTTCTCTTCATCATCGTCGTCGTCGTTTTCAAGGGCTCTTAGTTGTAGATATATAGGTTTTACTGCTCTGGTGTGTAGATTTGAGGGAGCAGAGGGTAAGTATTGAACAGAGACCGTTGATCATGTTATTGGATATTGAAGAAGTAGGATCATTAATTCCATTGCCCCTAGTCTTCTTGCTTGTATGTGAGTTCTATAGCTGTCACGGTCATCAATGCTGAAGGTTTCTGAAGGCTCAGGTTTTGTTACGTATTTCGTTACATACTTTGCGAATTCTGTAGTAGTAACGTATTGGAAATTGATATGGCCCTGCCATATCATCAAGGTTTCTGGATGGTAAGGTACTATCCATCAGTCTTCTTCTTTTGTTTTTTTATATACGTATTTGAGTAAGCGATTATCTCTATGTATTGTATTTGATAAAGGTTGGGGAAATCCTTTCCTGCACAGCATTTCTTCGAAGACGGAACCACCACACTTATCTGGGTGGCATCTATATTGATATTATAAATGTGAAATAAAGATATTAAATAAAAAATTATTTATTTATTTTATTTTTTATTTTTTATATTCTTTGTTATTTTAATTTATTTATTTAAATTTTTTCTTCTTATTTATTTTTATTTATTTTATCTACTTAAATCAAATTATGAAAATATATATATATACGAAATCGAGTTAGAAGTTCAAGAAAAAAATAAATCATGTTAACCTGTGAATCTGATATGTTGTAACTAAATGATATAGCTCTGGTTCCTGAGTTTGGTCTGGTAAGTCGGCCCATATTGTATTTCTTTCAATTAATTCAGGTATCTTAATACTCGTATAAGTGAAGCTGTGAGTATGTATAGTACCTCTATTCTGGAATTTGTCTCTCTCGAAATAATTTTTAAGTTTACCCCATTGTATAAGTTTTGTATTTTTTCATAACTTTTTACATATATTAGTAAGCTTATAGTGATAGAATAAGTAGACATGTAGTGGACGGTTTGTTGATAATGGGTTTCTGTTATCAGTTGATAATAGAATTTCTTTAAGATGATTTTATTTATCTTCTGCTATAATCATTGTGTAGAAGATTTGCGGCAAACCGTAAGACTGGAGCATCGTATTTACCTGGAGTTCCTTTTTTTTGAAATAAGGGGCAGCGGTTCTTAAGCTCGATCATATGGTAGTTGTTTTTGATTCATCGATTATTGGTTGGCCAGTATACACACTTTTTGCTGTGAACATGATAGAAATTTTTGTTAATGATTATGAATTTTTTTTAAATTAGAAGTTCGGAAAAAAGGAAAAAAGGAAAAAATACAAAGATTATACAGGTATATGTATACCTATACATATACGTATATTTATATATGTTATGTGCATATATAAGTATGTGTATACCTGAGACGAAATGAAGCAGTTTACTGTAAAAGCAGTGGTCAAATAACATAAGAATACCTATAAGGTCAGCTCTTGTTGGGTGATGTTCTCATGATATGCTCTTTTGATTTAGTAGTCTACAATTGTATTGAAAATTACGTTTCTTTTCTAGATTCAAGTATAACCAGTGCGGCCAGTACCAGTGTAACCTGAATCTCGGATCACTTAGTTTGATATACTTTCTGTAGCTCTCTGTGCTTGAGTGAAGATCTAGTTGGCTGCATATGTTTTCGTAATGACCTTTTCCAGTAGAAAATAGGTCAGGAAAAATCATTGCTTCGAGGTCAGGGTCACCATAAGATATTGGTAGCATCAAATCACCTAAATTCATGAATCCGGCCATAAGTCTTTTATATCTTAGGTCTTCGTTGTGTATTTCAGGAGGGAATGCATTGTTTGGGATTACGAGGTCAGGGATCGTGGAGTTGTTTCGTAATAGAACGGTGTTGGTGTTTTCTTGAGATTGTCTTGCTAAAGGTAAAGGAATTGGTGATGGGTTTGATGGAGAGGGAGAAGTGATATTAGGTAAAAGCATGTACTGACGAAATATCAGATTATTCATTTTTAACCAATTGCTGGTGATGGGAAGGGTTTTATGATACCAGCGTGCTGGTTCATTTTGGTCTAAGAAAGCACTAATCATGCCAGAGAATAATTCAAGTGCGTGGAGGTTCTTGCTTAAGAAAAAATCACCCCGTAGAAATCGGTACGTGGTATAGAGATTTGATCCTGGAGTGCGACCTAATGAGCATGTCATGTGGATCGGTGAGAGATATTTTCTATGTTTCATTGGTACCAGGCTTATTTCACGAGGTACGTATGATAGAACAGGAGAAAATCTTCTGGTTTTTGGATTTTTACAGCTTCTACAGATGGCTATTTTACTAGGTTTGTTAGTAAAATGGCGAAGATAAACGGGTATATCAGGAAATGCTACAGATAAAGTGTAATCTTCATTTGGATCATATGTTATCCACTGCGTAGAGGACTGATACATTAAAATCGAACAGTAATAGCAAGGAATATGAGGGTGATCAAACAAAATCTTTGTTTCGAATTGATGAAGAAGTTTTTTTAACATAGGTGACAGTCTCCAGGGCGGAAAAGCTAATGGAGAATTAGTTGATTGGTCATGTTGTGACGTTGGCGCAGGATTGTTCATGATGAATTGGTTTATTTCATTACGATAAGTATAAGGCTGGAAGATAGTAATGTTACTTGTATTTGAGTTTTCTTCATTTAAGTTTAATGGAATATTGCTTTCGTATTCGTGAATAGAGAAGCGTTAGATAGAATAATTCAAGTTTTTACTCATATTTAGGATTATAGACTAAGTCAGGTAAATTCAAAATTTATATACGAAGATAGGTAATATATATATTTTTTTATTAATTTTATTTTTATTTTTTCGATTTACTTTACAAAGGAATTTTTAATGTCAACTCGATGGAATGACGGTCGAGCCATAGTTTTTATATGCGATTCACGGGCCAGGGTTGATATCTTATTTAATCATGTTTTTTTATTATTAATAACATAATGTAATTTTATAGTTAATTAATACATTTTATTTTCATTGTTTAGGTAAAGAAGATAAAACAAAGAGGAAGTATTTAATTGGAGTTGTATTTTGAATATACAAAAATAGATAATCGGGTGTATTAAAATTATTAGCGATTATTCTATTATTCTTAAGGCGTGTCTTTATCATCGAGATTATTTGGTTGTTCTTCATCTGAATATAGTCCGTCAGTATTGGTTTCAACTGTAGTATGTAGGTATTCAGCGGAATTTTTATCTGATTGAGTTAAATCTACTGCATTATGTTGAACTTCTGCATTATGTTGAACTTCCGCACTCTCATTTTCTAGTTTTTTGAGTTATTAATAGAATTTATTAATCATAAAATTAGTATAATCATTATTATTTTTTTTTATTAGTATTACGGTCGTTCTCTCACACGATTATATAATCGAAAACACGGTAAATTGATTTTAGAACATGTCTTTAGAATGTGTCTATAAAGGAGTTATGCTGATACAGAGTTTTCTTTTTATAAACTAAAAGATAGTTTGGTTCAAACGCTATTATTTGGAGAGACGATTATATTTTTATTTTTTATCTATTTATTTTTTTATTTTGTTTTTCATTTTTTTATTTATTTTTTATTTATTTATTTATTTTTTATTTATTTATTTATTTTTTATTTATTTATTTACTTATTTATTTTTATTTAATTTATTTATTTATTTATTTATTTTTTTCTATTGTTAACTTTTTATTACCATCTTACCTTTAATTTCGTTGACTTGGTTTATAGCAAATTTCAATCTTTTTGCCCTCGAGAAGCTTTCTTCTTGCGGGTCTTCGTTTATATCCTTTGTTACATTGCGAGGTTGTTTTTTATTAGGGGGTGGACTAAATTTATCCACTAATTTTTCTAACTCTTCATTTCTTGATTTTCTATCTTTTACTGATTTATCATCACCGGTTTTAGAGTTTCCTTGGTTTTAATAAGTCCATTCTATTACTTCACTTAGCACACACACTGATCTTTTCAACGTTACTAATTCACCAGCGACTAAGATTATAGGTTGACGTTTCGTTGCATCGGCTACATTAGCATGATGACCTTTGGGATCATACTTACACAAAACGGACATTGTAACCTGGAAAGCAGTTACGCCATTATAAGATTCTCTCTTTAGACAAAAAGCAGCATTATCACCTTCTGGAGTGCTAGGGTCCTAAACTGGAGCCGTAAAAACACCAAAGGGCAGAGATATGGGGAGATCATATATTGATAGGTAATCTTCTAAAGTTTGAATTTTAAGGAGGGTATTCTGTTCGATTGTAACTTTAGAAAAAAAAAAAAAAAAAGATAAATGAACGCGTAGCAATAAACGTAAATAAAAGGTAAGATGGTAATAAAAAGTTAACAATAGAAAAAAATAAATAAATAAATAAATAAATTAAATAAAAA